AACTTCAGCTCTGTACGCTGTCTCATCTCCCCCAGAGATGAGCCCCACCACGGTGGTATCATCTGCAAACTTGATGACTGCGTTGTCTGGGTGGGTACTAACACCGTCATTATCTTTATTTAAAAGACTGTAATTATGTTTTCACCGTAATTAAACATATATCGATGTAATACACTCTAATCTATGCACTTATAATGATTTAAAGCTGTAAGAATAAGATTTCACCCTAAGTTTTAGGGGCATTGAGCAGCCACAGTGCAGCACCCAGTCAAGCAACAGAAGGTATAACAATTAACCAGTTGATATTTTGTTAGCACAGCTGGTAACTTCACCTTTCAGGGAAATTGTTCAAATGGACACAAATAGTATAATTGAGTAAAATTGGTATTTGCAAAAAAATACACAGTCTTATAATTAATTTTTAAAAATTATCTGAAAATGTGGAGCCATTTTCAATACGGCCATCAACAAAGGCAAAAATAATAATAATTCAGATAAACTAAACTTGTCCTTTTTTATGTTAGTCAAAGATGTATGATTTTTAAACTATGTGGAAGTCAACATTGTAACTCTGGAGTTTCTTTTTTTAAGTAGGTCTGGGGCATGGAAGTACAAGTAATTATTTTTTTCCAGTTACATCTCGTCGATGCACCACTAACTCTCCTCACTGATTACCCATTTCTCTCCTATGGCCCCCAGAAGGTTTGTTGTTCATGCTGGCTCAGGATTTAGAGTGGGTTGCCTCCTATTCAGAAGGTCAGTGGTTCAACCCTGAGCTGAAATGTTCTTAGGCAAGATACTGAACTCCAGATACCCCCTGATGCATTCAGTGGGTTTTCATTTGTGCAAAACAAAACAAAACAAAAAAAAGTGTCTGTGGGTGCAGTGTTAGATGTGCTTGGGGTGTTAGGTGAGGGCAAAAAATAGTATTGTTAGATTATTTATACAGGTTGGCCAATACAATAAATAGCAGTTAGTCAATGGAGCAAAACGGTTCTAGGTCTAAACTTGTCCAAAGACACGTTTGTCAGGTTAACTGGTGATTCTAAAGTGACTGCTGGTGTATGTTAACAGTAAATTACTGTCTCACTGTGTTAGCCTGTGAAAAATATTGATGACAGGATCTGACAGCGTGAGAGAGATGAGCTAACGGTAAAGGAGCTAACTGAAATTCATCAAACGACTATAAATGATCACAGGATGAATGTTAAACATCCGAGTCCGAGTTTTACTTGAAACAAAGAAGCTCTGAAGATGTTTTAAGTTATAAATTTCACTCACTTCTTGTCAAAAGGATTAAAAAGAGAGTAAAACCTCTGAAATGTATCCAGTGGTTGAAATTATGTTTTCCTGGATGGAAATGATGGTAAACTGGAAATTTCGAAAGTTGGATTTTTCACAATAATGCCTAGACAAAGACAAAAAAAGCAAATGTTGGTGTTTTTATCCACTTTTGAAAGATTGTTTCAGTTTGCTGCTGCACTGTGTTGCTTTTTCTTTGGGGTACACGCTAAATTCAAAATTACCGAGTGTATGTCTCTTTGATCTGTCACACTTTAAAATCTGTTAAACTTTTTAGCAGAACTGTGTGAAATATCACTTAATAACTTGATGTTTTTCCCTATTCCGGCACATAATTTCCTCACGTTTCATTGACTGAGTCATTATTCACACAGATTTCTGGCTCAGTTAACTCACAACATTAAGTCTTGTCTGTTAGGCTAATCCTGCACTGTCTAACACACTTTGCTGAATTGAAAAGACAAATGACTACTAACTGTACTCAACATAAGTATGTATACTGTATACCTACCATGCTGTCATGTGCCATAAATATGTACATTCTTTACAGAAATGATGCTCTGTTTTGCAAAGGTTAAACCAATTTGTAGTTCAAGCTAGCAAGGGAGCTGATGATTACATAAAGGAATGAAAAACACTGAAAGCCTCTGTATTGTATATGTGGGAGGTGAATCTGAGAGTACTTACCAGGTGACAGACAGGGAGACAGAAAACTGAGGGGAGGGGAAACACTGGAAGATAGCAGTGGACCACTCTAGAAAGAGAGGGGGGAAAAGCAAACGGGAGGGGGAGAGAAAAGAAATTTAGTCCAATTTGCAGATACGTGCTAACTTCATTATTCAGCTTCCTCTCATACACTTATAGTCATATTACAGATGATTGTGATGCCTTTAGGAAAGACACTGACAGAAAAAAAAAAAAAGATGTACACGAGCATGTTCCTGTTCACACATACACAACGCACACACTGGGGTGTAATCACCAGCTCCCCAGTAATGTTCCTCATCCTATTTGGCAAGTGCAGAATTTTAATCATTCCTCTGGCTTCTGCTAAATAAACTTTTAATGGAAGGCGCTTCCCGTAAGAAAGGCTGCCTCTGTCAGAGAGATTGGTGGAAATGAGCTGGCAAATTAGACAAACGGCACCACCTCCACATCTGCTCTGCAGCAGCTTCTGAGAGGCAGGTATGTCAGTGAAAATAAAACAGAGTCTGCTAAAAGCTTAAAACGTAAATGTAAAACACAGATTGGGTCAAAAGGTGCAGACAGAGAGGCAACGCGGATGAGTGAAACAAGAACCAAACTATAGATGGAAAGGAGAAGATAATCCCCCTTTTGGCAAGGCATCTGGTACCTCAGGCCTGAAGACAAGAAAAATTCCTCATCATTTCCTGTACTTAGGAGTGACCATGATTCTGCTTGTGTCTCTCACATCACCATCACATCGCTAGAACAGGAACAGGCCAGTAATGGTTTCTTTATACAATCACTTTGCAAGATAAACTTTGCCAGATAAGTGTAGACAGCAGAAGCTAGATTTCAACAAGTAAAGTGAGGGAAAGTTGCTGCTCTTAAGGTGGTATTTCCATCTGGGATTATGATTGCTTGTTAATGTGGAGATTTTTGAAAGCCCAATAAGAAATATATTTTGTGACAGGTTCCTCTCGTGAGTTCCAGCTTTAAACATACTGCAGTTGTTGTCCAAATTAATTAGAGAAACTAACACAATGTCAGTATATGGACCGTTTTTATATTTGGATAGAGGTCCTTTGCAGTCAATGACTGCCTGAAGTCTAGAACCAGTAGACATGTCAAAATGCTGCATTTCCTCCTTTAAGATTATGAGGCTTTACGGCAGCCACCCTCAGTTGCTGCTTGTCTGCTTTCAGTTTGCATACAATAACTGAAAAGATGCTGAGCCAAGACGAGGTGACTGGCATGGCCACTGAAGAATATTTTATTTATTTAAACTCTCGAGCAGTATGCTTTGGGTCATTATCTATCCATCTGTGAAGCGCTGTCTGATTAATTTTGCAGCATTTGGCTGAATCTGAGGAGAGAGTGTAGCAAGTGTAGTACAATCCATCCTGGTGCACATCATCAATAAACATTAGTGACTTAATGCCACTGGCAGTTATACATATCCATGCCATAACGTTACCTCCGTCATGTCTGACAGATGATACGGTATGCTTCAGATCATGTTTGTTCCCTTCTCCGTACTTTTCCTTTTCCATCATTCTGAAAGTTAATCTTGGTTTCATCTGTCCAAACCGTGCCGTATAATCCGACCTTCCTGTTTTCAAGTATAACCAGTGGTTTGAACCTTATGAACCTGCTGTATTTACATTGTACATGCTTTGTATTTACATAAAAGTATCTCTTGATTGTAGACTTTGACAGGGATACGCCTACATCCTTGAAAGTGTTGACTTGGTTAGATGTTGTAAAGTTGTTTCTCTCAACAATCAAACTGTCGTCACACACTCGAGTTGTCTTCTGTGGTTTTTCAGGCCTTTTGGTGCTGCTGAGCTGCTCGGTGCGTTCATTCTTTTTGCACCACACCTAATGTTTTTGCGACTTCTCCCATAGGTTTGCTTGTTTGGTTTGCACTGACGTCTCTCAGCACACCGTTTTTAACATTATAGTAAAAAAACTATAACTTCAGATATTATGCCCGCATCATTTGTCATGAAATAATGAGGGAACAGGCTTGACTTGGCCACGAAACTGCTCGTCAATCCAACTTTTGATTAATTCCTAACTTCCATCCATCCATCCATCTTCATCCGCTTTGTCCGGGGCCGGGTCGCGGGGGCAGCAGCCTAAGCAAAGAGGCCCAGACCTCCCTCTCCCCAGCCACCTCCTCCAGCTTATCCGGGGGAACACCAAGGCGTTCCCAGGCCAGCCGAGAGATATAATCTCTCCAGCGTGTCCTGGGTCTGCCCCGGGGCCTCCTCCCGGTGGGACATGCCTGGAACACCTCACCCAGGAGGCGCCCAGGGGGCATCCTTGTCAATTCCTAATTCCTAACTTGTTAATTAAAAATGTTTGTAAGCAAAAAACAAACAAAAAAAAAGCGACCAAAAAACAACAACATTAAAGCTGAAATGCTGCACTTGAGTCAAGTACTTGGAAGTACAAGTGCAAAAATTGTGTGTTGTGCAACTAATTATTGACCTCACTCTACATATATACAACATTTTTACTACCAAAGAAAATCACCTCCAAAAAATCCCAGCATCAGTTGGGCCTTGCAAAAAACAGGCCCATGTAATGAAGTTAATACAGAGCTTGGTATTGATCTGGCACCATCTATTTTGAGTCATCTGCCTCTGATCCCTCTCTCCCCCTCTTCATGTAGATAAGCTGCAACTGTGGGAGAGGCCTATGTAGATCAAATATTCCACATGTCAAGTGGACTCACTGGACAAGAGCTGTTCACAGGCCTCTTCAGCCAGGGTAGAGCATCAGCAGATACACTGTGTATCAAAAAAGCCATGACACACGTACAGACACCAATATTCATGTTCTGCTAGGTAATTTAGTAAGAGCCCTATAAAGAGAACAGGCTAACAATACTTGGGTCCTGCTTTTTCACCAGGCCTCTTTTATCCATCGACGTAAGAATGAACCGACATAGGAAACCTGTAAAATACTACTGCTGCTGTTACTAGGGATAATAATAAGTAGAAGAAAATAAGTGATGATGCTGCTAAGTGGACACAGATATTTTACACTTTAGCAGACAAAGCTAACAAACTGGAACTCAATTGTGCTACCATGGAAACTCCAACCAGCAGCACAGCTAAAAGAGTTCAGTCATGAATACACAATATCAAACAAAAAATAGATGTTTCTTGCTACATCTCTTCTTTCTGTGCATCTGTGCGGACACACACATGCACACACGAGTATATTTTTAGTAGGTGCTATTCTAAGTAACATCCAGCCATGCGGTAATCATTCCTTTGATTAAAGCAACAGGTAAGAAGCTGCTAATCTCTCCCCTGCCTGTCACAGGATTTAAATGGTATAAACAGTAACAGCTGTGCCGACCATCACTCAACAAATGACGGCTTTACAGGGGAAGCACACAGGGGTGCTGATTAAAACAACAACACTGCCAACCGCACACACTCCCGCAGGTATCACAGGATGGGATCTGGCCGGGGAAATGACATTATCCGTGTTACCTGAAATAGCCTAATCTGAAAATAATACGCCATTATCTACACATACAAGCTTACACCAAAATGCCTCACATAAACTGGTCTGGAGGTGAAGAGAATGACAGTTCAAGTACTAACGGCATATGTCCCCGCCTCAGGAAATCGACCCAACCCAAAGGCTGACGCGCAGCTCTCTGTGGGACACGCTGTTGACGGCTTTGCTGCCATGAGCAGCACCTGTCAGGGCACTGAGATGATAATTCTCATTTGGCCCCCGATTGCAACTATGCTGAGAGTGACTCTGAAGGGACATTAAATAACATCAGCTCTCAAAACGACCAAAGGAGGACTCCGAGAAATCCCTCCCCCCGTGTTTGTGTGCAGCTGTGTCATGCAGGATAGTTTGTTTTCTCACAGGACTAAAGTAGGAAAACCAGACTGAAGACTGGGGGATAGAAAGCTTGACAAACATTAAAACTAAAGTTACACTTCACCTTTCATACATCACCATTTCATTATAATAGCTCACACCAGTCTACTGTCTGTAATGCAGTTTGGAAGGTGCCGTCAGGAGCTAGTTGGCTGATATCTCCTACATTTACAAATTTATGCATTTCACAGAAATTTTTTTCAAACAAATCAGAGCATAAAAATTACATTTTTCAGTTTTATGGGGATTATGTCTTTATGTCAATGTAAGGTTTCCAGTTGAGGCTCCTGGAAGTTACTAAATCCCCCGTTTCCAGTTTCTGAAAATAACATGACTTAATGTTACAGACATGAGTCTGCTAGGACTAGAAACTTGTCACCATGGCATTAAGACTTTTGTTGTGTCTAGAATCCCATTTCTCTGGACTTAGACTTTCTATTATGTGCATAAATTTAGCTACATGAAGTACACTAAAAGTATCTGGATGGTGTATTTATAACTATCAAGATGTAGAGTGTGAAATAAACTAAAATACCAACAAACTCCAATGGCTTTATTCTCATGGCACGGTGAGCATGTTTTGGTATGCAGGCCTTCATCTATCAACCCTCCGAATCTTTTCTATTGGTGTTCCACTAATTGGGGCCTTCCAAATATGGTGTTCATCCAAACCTAGGGTGAAAGTGGAAAATTCCAACAGTAAAATTCCACCAACAGGAGGAGTCTTCAATAACCTGGACACATCCAGAAGCCCAAAAAGATACCAATAAACATTCATCAAATTCAATCCAAATCATACAAAAAAAGACCACACAGCTGCACTGACCACAAATAACATAAATGCATCAATAAAGTTTATAACAAAGAAGTTATTTTTTTAAGCCAGGATATTTACTAGCCTGTTTTTATAAATCCAATAAAGTTTTTTTTTAAGAACTCCTTTATCTATTACTTCTTGTATTGTATATTGTATTGTAGTATAGAAGGGTTACTGTTATGAAAGTCCAGGTAGTGAATAGCCACAAGCTAGTTAAATGTTACCGCTGCATGTCACTGCTGCTAGCAGACAAAACAAAACTACCCGTTGAAAGTAACACTCTACCCAAAGAAGTACCTGTTGTACGAATGGAAGTATTCAAATTAAGTAATAAT